GGAAAGGCACTTTGTCATTTTCCATTTTGGGGTTTGTGTTATAAATCATCTTTTGACTGGTTTCTCCTTTGTGCTTCCTGTCAGAAATTTTAGTCCAATCATATTCTTTAAGAATCATCTCAAAATGGTTTTCTTTATCCTCTGGAAATTTAATTCTTAGATCCCTCAAGGTCAGTAACACTGTTAACCTATTAACAACCAGCCTCTGACAAGAATCCAGAAATAGTTTGAGCTGTTCCAACTTGACAGTACACAGGTTGATTTTATTTTGTATTTATTTTTAAAACAGCTAGCAGAAATCTGGAAAAAAATAATGCATTAGTAAAAATAGTTCACTGTAATTACACTTAACTCTTCTATAATTTTATCAGTGATTACATAAGGTAATCTGTCTATGATATTTTATTTCTTTGGAAACTTAGAACATGATGTGGCAGATGTTTATTTTCTAACATTAGGAACTGACTCTGCTTAACCCTACATTTTGGTTCACTGCATTATTAAAATGGAGTTGAATTTAAAACGTATTTTTCTTTTCTTACCATAGTGTACGTTTTCATCCAAAGGATCCATTTTTCCTTTTTCCTGGTCTTGTTCTAAACTCTTGTTTCTAGAAGAAGAAAGAAAACGGACAATTGTTTATCTATTCCTAGACTTTAAAGATGAATATTTCTTTATCAGTCCTTTCCTTGCTCTCTGTAATGTCCTTGAAAAATTATTAAACATTTGAAGATGGTGGATATGATTTGGAGAAAGAAGTGCAGTTATTTAACCAGAAATTATAAGTTTTTAAAGTAAAGGAAAAAAATGTTTCAAAATCAGGTCTATATTTTCTCTTGCTGTGTAAGGAAATCCCTTATGATTCTGGCATATGTGGAAGAGAAGGACTATATGTAATACTGTTTTTACAGATTTTGCCAGTACTTCGTCCTACTTTTTGCCTTTCCCCTTCTAGAAACACAGACCACATGAAATTTTTGTTTGCGTAACTGCATGTGGTGAGCCCATACCATTCTTCTGTTTGTGGGTTGTTTTTTGTTTTGTCTCCATCTTCATCTCTTCAGGAAGTAGTAATAAAGATCTAGTTCTGTCTTATATTTTCCATTCGATAAATCTGTGATGCACCTTGCTCTGGTAGTCTGATCTTCTAAGGAACAGCAGCTGCATTTCTGCAGCATTTTGTCTCTGCACAGCCTACCAGAATGCTGCCATTTCACATATCCAACAGTCCCCACACACAACTGATTCCTTGGAGTGGCAGGAGAAAGTCTAATAGCAAGTTTGCCGGTGGCAAACATGAGGCAGATACACAGGTACAGAGGTGGTGCAGACTCGTCTCCTTATTCTACACAGCCAATATTTACTCACTGCCTTGTATGCCTTGTTTTCCAGTAGGGCCGCCCACCAGAAGTTTCAACATGGCCACAAAATCTGAGGGAGTGGTTGCTTGGTACTAAAGAAATTGCCAGTCATCAAAAACAGAAGTACATTGTTGTGTGGGAAGTGAAGATTTCAACAAAATAGCCATTTATCCAACACAGCCCCATAAATAAGTTTTGGTCGAACTACTGTGTCTTTCACCAAAAAGAAATAAAATAAAGCATGTTTAATGCAGGATAGGGCAATTTCCTTTTAACCTAAAGCTGCAACAGCAACATTAGGTTTTCTACTTTTTTATATAATTAAATACCCTGCTGCAATTTTGCTTCGTAATTGGCATACTTAACTGCTGATTTCGTACTGGTTGAATGATTTACGTCATCCCTTGTATTTTTTGCCTGCTGAATCCCTACTATTAGTATAATGGAAACTTGTACAGTCTAGACTCTTTTTGCTGCTGCTTTGCTGTTGTCATTTACTTTTTGTGCAGCTGATGAAAATAAGAGCTCTGTGCTCAGAGTGAACATTTTCCCTTTGTTACCTGTTTAACAGCTCTTAAGGTGTAGCAGGCCTTTTGCTGAAACCACTAACGGACTTCACACAAACCTACATAACACTGCTTTATGCCACAGATTTGTCTTTAAGTAATTGACTATGTCAGTAGTCAAGGAAATATTTCTTAGTGATAAACTTAGAAGCCCAGAGAGTCTGAGTTTCCATGAAGTTCCTAATATAGCTTGGCCTTCATTCTCTTTATTCATCTCGTTGTCACTAATTGGAATGTTATGTCTTGGGATTCTGGGAACTCTTCTATGATATTGCTTTGCTAAGGAGACTTGTAGGATAGCACAAATCAGTCCATTAAGATTTTAGATGGTGCAGGACCAGAATCTCTTTCTGTCAATAAATTCATACAATAAAATGCTAGGCTGGCTATAAGCTGGATGCATTGTGTGAGAGGAATCTTTGTTATAGAGAGGAATTCAGTGGTTGACATAAAACCCTGAACTTTCAAATTCAAAATGATATGCCTGACAAGTTTCCCCAGGGTTTATGGTGGGTTGACCTTGACTGGATGCCAGGTTCCCACCAAAGCAAACTCTGTCATTCCCCCTCCTCAACTGGACAGGGGATAGAAAACATAATGAAATCCTGTGGGTCAAGATAATGACAGCAAGAGATCACTCACCAATTACCATCATAGGCAAACCCGACTTGATTTGGGGAAATTAGTTTAATTTATTAGCAATGGAAATAGAGTAGTATAATGAGAAATAAAACCAGTATCTTAAAAACACCTTCCTCACAAGCATCCCTTCTTCCCAGGCTCAGCTTTACTCCTGATTTTCTCTACCTCCTTCCCCCACAGGAAGGACAGGGAATGGGGGTCGCAGTCAGCTCACCACACATTGTCTCTGCTGCTCCTTCCCGCTTAGGGGAGGACTCCTCACACTCTTCCCCTGCTCCAGTGTGAGGTCCCTCCCACAGGAGACAGCTGGCCACAAATTTCTCCAAAGTGAGTCCTTCCCATGGGCTACTGGTCTTCACAAACTGCTCCAGTGTGGGTTCCTTCCACGGGGTGCAGTCCTTCAGGAACAGACCGCTCCATTGTGGGTCCCCCATGGGGTCACAAGCCCTGCCAGCAAACCTGGTCCAGCATGGGCTCCTCTCTCCACAGGTCCACAGGTCTTGCCCAGAGCCTGCTCCAGTGTGGGCTTCCCACAGGGTCACAGCCTTCTTTGGGTGTCTGCCTGCTCCAGGGTGCGTTCCTCTGTGGGCTGCAGGTGGATATCTGCTCCACTGTGGACCTCTGTGGGCTGCAGGGGGACAGTCTGCCTCACCGTGGTCGTCCTCATAGGCTGCAGGGGAATCTCTGCTCTGGCACCTGGAGCACCTCCTCCCCCTCCTTCTTCACTGCCCTTGATGTCTGCAAATTTCTTTCACACATTCTCACTCCACTCTCCAGTTACAGTTGCTGCAGGTTGGGGTTTTTTTTCACGTTCTTAAATACGTTATCTCAGAGGTGCTACAGCTGTTGCTGGTGGGCTCGGCCTTGGCCAGCAGCGGGTCCCTCTTGGAGTTGGCTGACACTGGCTCTATCAGACACAGGGGAAGCTTCTCGCAGCTGCTCACAGAAGCCACCCCTGTAGGCCCCCTGCTACCAAAACTTTGCCACGCAAACTCAATACAACCTATCTTAAAGTTAAACATATGGCAGTAAGTACTACATAATTAACAGTCTACATTTGCAATGCTGGTGCAAGTGTAGTCTTTTTAATAGCAAGTTTTCTTGCTTACTTCCAAAAAGAAATTGTCGGTATATCAGTGGACTGTGGCATGAAAATCGAAAAACTCTCCTGTAGCTGTACCGTGCTAGAACAGTGGTGAACAGTAGTTAGTTATTTGTTTAGTACTTGATCTCAAAAGGTGTTATTTTTAAATGAATGGAGTGTGTCAGATACACCTCATTCAATTAATCCACAATGTAATATAAACTGAGTAAATCATCACCTGTCATTTAATAAGACTTTATAAAGAAACAGCCTGCTTTTTCTTTCATGCTTTTGTGTGTGTGGTATTGGCATTGTTGATGTTATAATTATTTTTATTTTTGTTTTATTTTCATTATTCACATTTTCTTGAAACTCATCTATTCACCATTCCAATTAGTGAAATTGTTGGAACGGTGTCAAAGAAACTACTTACCCATTCTGTCTAAATTCGCTTTATCGTTACATTGCCTTCTAATATTCACATCAATATTATTTTTATCAGAACATGCCATTCTGCTTAATGGTTGGGATGCAGTGCCATATTTTGATTTAATGTCTGAACACCAGTGAAGAGACACTTACTGTTTGAATTCTGAAATTATTTCTACTGATACTGTTAGAAATGCAGGTTTTCTACTTTCTGATCTATCTGCTTGGAGTGATATTGCTTGAAAACAGCCATCAATAGCCCAAGACTGTTGCTTAATTCACTTTTTAAAATGAAGTATCTAGAGTCTTGGGTAAACAGCTTATATTTCAGCTGATATTTGAGACACTGGGAGGAGGAAACTAAAGTTGCCTGTAGAACTAGGTCAAAAAGTTGCATGCATTTAGTTACAGGTAAAAGCCTGCTAATGGGATAGCTGGGGATAGAGGCAAGAGAAAAAATCAAAAGGTAGGGAAATAGTGGAAGTAAAGAGACAGAATTAGGCTGAAAAATGGTGGTTGTGAATGGAAGCGAAGCAGCATAGCAGATGTCATAAGCCTGCCACTTACTTTCAGTGTTGATATCCTAGAACATTATAGCATTTGCTGGTGTATATAACATATGATTTATGTTTCTCCTCCTGCAAATATAGCATCGTAGTGAACAGTGTAGAATCTGAGTAGAATTGCCCACATGAATATTTTAGCTAAGTGAATATAACTCAGTAAACTGTCAGTGAGAAATGCAGCTTTCATTAAAAGGAGGTGAAACATTGCAAACTCATTTCATTTTACTGCTGACCAAAGTATTTTTTTAACTCTGGGCAATTATCTTGGGTATGGGAAGGGGAAATGCCCTAATGGATGTTTTCTGGTCTGTTCTAATCTATTTATGCTTTTGCTTTTTAATCGTAGGTTTCCGTGCTCGAGAGGCAGATATTTGATTTCCTTGGTTATCAGTGGGCACCTATCCTGGCAAATTTTATACACATTATTATAGTCATACTTGGCTTATTTGGAACCATCCAGTATAGACCTCGTTACATAACAGGAGTGAGTATTTAATTTTATTTATTTATTCTGATATGCATGTGGAAAAAAAAGGCATTCCAAACTATTTTTGTAAATCAAAGACATATCCTGGTTTAACTTTCTTCTGTAATATTTTACATTAACTTATGCTTTTGAGACACCTAGACACCTGCAAAAATTAAGTGGTAACAACCTACAAAAGTTGAAAGTCAATATGATCACAAAATGTATAACAATATGAACTTTCAAGAAATGAAAGTTTAAAGAATTACAGCATCCTCAGAATTACAGGGATTCACAGCAAGAATAAACGCTAGCTATAACTTAGATACACTGGACCTCCCCAACAGATCCATGATTTATAACAGTTACACATTATTGTTATTAACCGTCGTTGCTGGAGTGCCCATCTGTTATGTATATCCCTCCTAGGAATTCTGGTCCAAGTTGAAAATGAAGTATGACAACACGGTAAGAAATGTAGGGTTGATGAATAAAAGAATAAAAGTAAGGATTTGGACCTTTATATTTTTAATCCATTTCTTTTCCTTATTCAGCTATCCCTCATACATGGACTCAGTATTACTGTGCTCTCTGGTACAATACAGTATTAATGAAATCCTCATTTCATACATTGGGTTTGTTTTTTTCTCCATTTGTAGGTCTATAAAGACAGAATAACAAATCTGAAAGCCATGGTTCAGAACACCTTTTGTTAGAATAGATTTGCATAACAATATATCTATCAAAATTGACTGCTAATTCAGTTAAAGCTTGTATACTTCTCTGAGATAGACAGCAGTTGAAAAAATTTGCCCATACAAAATTGTATTTTCATGTCAAATGAAAATAAATCCAGTGAATCTGTACCTGCTGCTGCGAAGTCTGTTTCCTCTCATACTGTTCCCTCATGTACCAGTAATCACTCAGGAGACAGGTTTTGCTTGTACCCCTGTGCTACCATCCATAGTGCTGTAGTGTGATGCTAACTAGTACATTAACATTTCTGTCTGTGTTTCTGTCTCTGTGATTTCTTATATGCAGAAAATGTGAGTCCACATGTATAATGTCTTTATACATGCACACAGTTAAATATATTCCAAAAAATATATTATAAATATTGAACAATATACTGCAAGCTTTAAATATTTAGAGTGTTTCCTTCAAGTCACAACTTTGGGAGTTGCGTGAATGTGAACTGGAGTTCTCTTCTTCCATTTCTAATGCTTTGACCAGTACAGAAGGCTTGAAAATGAAAAAAGGAAATTCAAGTAAGAGTCAGTTAAATAAAGAGTATAAAAAGTTCCATCCTAAGAGTATTCCAATGCATAAAAACTAGCATGAGCATAAAATGCTTAGCTGAGCTAAACAAAAAATCTAGATTTAAATGGCCTTTTGAATAGGAATACAGTAAATTACCTGCTACAATGATGAGTGCATTGTGAATGGGGAGGAATACCAGCCTTATAAATAGGTACCATTCACAGGAGTTTCTGGATGATACTGTTTGTGTGACACTGGCCTACTAATTTTCACACATATTTTCTCAGAGCTCGCTCTCACAGTGTAGCCCATCTGGCTTTGTGAGTTTGCCTCCCTGTATCCTTTCATTGAATTCAGTAGAACCAATCTAAGACCAAATTGTCTTGCTAAGATTTTATAATAGACACCTGAATCTGCCGTCTACCACAGACTGCTTAGATAAGGAAACAATGACGAAACTTTCATCCTTCATTTAGTTGGATCAACAGAGGAGTGTTATGATTTTTTCATTTCTACTAGTGATCTCTTTCGAGAGCATCTAAAGTCAGGATGGGGGACAGGGTACTGGTCACTGGAGGGAGAGATAAGAGAATTGCATCCTTTTCTTCGGTTCTACTGGGCTCAGAATAGGCAACTTGGGGAAGCTGGGCAAAACTCAGTGGTGTCATCTGACATCAGGAGTAAAGTTACGAGTTCAAAGGCAAGAAGAAAGACAACAGCCTATAAGCCTGCAAGTGTGTAGCTATGAGGTGTTCAAGTGAGTGGATGTAAAAATTCAGACTTCAATAGATTCTGCAAGGGTCAATCTATCTTGAGTGGATGCTATAGGACCCTTAATCCACAGTCACAGTAGTACCTCAAGTATAGCTTGCTTCAACAAGACTACAATAAATTTCTTTTTTCCTGAGCATGCTTCATAAAGGATATCACTAAAATGTTTTCCAGAGGTTGTGAATCATTGGTTAAAGAGAGCAGGGAGGTTTTAAGGTGAGATTTAAAGAAATGATTCAGTGGCTTAGGGAGAAGAGGAAATAAGTTTTAGACAGATGGGACACCACAAGTGGAAGTGTGTCCTAGAACTCTCAAGAGTCACAGTGAGGTTTAGAAGTGGGTGAGGGGAATAGGTGGTTGTGTGGTTTCAGGCCTTGGAAAATAATTCAGATTACGTGGGATGCAGGAGTTGTGGTGGACGAAGAGGACAGGAAATGGAAGTTTGTTATCATGAGAGGGGTTAATCTTAATGTAGGTTCAGCAAGAGCATATTCATTTCTGCTTGTAAACCTAAACCATTAACCAATAAATGAGCCATTGATGCAGGCAGTGAAACATCTGTTCTGAGGGTGGGAGTGTCTGTTCAAAGATGTAATTTCAAAAGATAATAATTAAACCATTTTTTGGTGAAAACAATAATGATAGAAGGACTGCTTAACAGCACTATGCTGAAACAGAATAATGATTTCAGTAGGAATGAAGGTTGGACAGCATAATGACTGAGAGGTAGATGTGGGTTTTAGCAGTGCTATCATAGGTTCCATCAATGCAAATGCCTGAGAGGTAATACCTATGCAAATTATTAAGTGTTCTGGAAAGAAGCAATGCTCTTCACCTGGGCGGGGTTCTGCCTAGAGGCTCAGTTTCTCCCCGTTCCTTCTGCAGAGGGATTCTAGCTGTGCTGATATGCTCAGCACATGTTCCTCACTCTGCTGTGGATTATTAGACACCTGACTAATCTAGTGAGCTTCTACAATGAAGTAACTGCATCTGTAGACAAGGAAAGAGTTATGGATGTAAACTATCTATACTTCTGTAAGGCCTTTGATATGGCCCCCCACAGTATTCTGACCACTAAATTGGAGAGATTTGGTTTTGACAGATGGACTGTTAGATGGATAAGGAAGTGGCTGGATGGCCTCATCCGAAGAGTGGATGGCTCAGTGTCCAAGTAGAAACCAGTGATAAGTCTCTCAAGGGTCTGCACGGAAACCAATAGTATTTAATATCTTTATCAACAACATTGACAGTGGGATTAACTGCACCCTCAGCAAGTTTGCAGATGACACCAAGCTGAGAGGTGCAGTTGATTCGCTGGAATGAAGGGACATCATCCAAAGGGACCTTGGCAGCCTCGAGGAGTGGACCCATGTAGACTGTACGAGGTTCAATAAGGCCAAGTGCAACGTCCTTCTCCTGGGTCGCGGCAACTGCCGGTATCAATACAGACTGAGGGTTGGATTGAGAGTAGCCCTGCTGAGAAGGACTTGAGGGTACTGGCAGATGTGAGCTGGCAATGTGCACTTGCAGTTCAAAAAGCCGATCGTATTCTGGGCTGCATAAAAAGAAGTGCGACCAGCAGGTCAGGGGTGGTGATTCTCCCTCTCTACTCTCCTGAGACCACACTTGGAGTCCTGTGTCCAGCTCTGGGGCCCACAGTATAGGAAAGACACGGACTTCTTGGAGCAGGTCCAGAGGAGGGCCACAAAAACAGTCAGAGGGCTGGAACACCTCTGTTATAAAGAAAGGCTGAGAGAGTTGGGGCAGTTTGGCCTGGAGAAGTGAAGGCTCCAGTGAGACCTTATTACAGCCTTTCAATATATAAAAAGGACTTACAAAAAAGATGGAGAAAAACTAATTACCAGAGACTGTAGTGGCAGGACAAAGGGCAATAGGTTTAAACTGAAAGAAGCTAGGTTTAGACTGAACATAAAGAAGAAAATTTTTACCATGAGAACGGTGAGGCACTGGAACAGGTTGGCCAGAAATGCTGTGGATCCCCCATCCTTGGAAGTAGTCAAGGTCTGGTTGGATGGGTCTTTGATAAACATGATCTAGTGAAAGATATCCCTGCACATGGCAGGGAGGTTGGACTAGATGAACTTTAAAGGTCCCTTCCGACCAAATTATTCTGTAATTCTGTGAAACAAAGAGAGTAAGGAAATGCCACTGAATGAACTGGTGTTTTCTGTTTCCTGCATTATGGAAAACCTTGGCAATCTCATTCTACTGTTCTCTTTACATTTCTAGAAAGCATTCTCCGAATATATAAGAAGGACAAAAAGTTCTTTTTCATTGTACTGAATGTCATTCTCTTCTCGAAACAGAGGAATCCACCTGACAGGTGAAGCCCACTTTATGGTTCTCCAGTGTTACAGAGGTAGCACTGTAAAACTAAGTACTTTGTTTCTTCACTGCCATGGGAAGGACTATCTAGTGGAGCTTGACAGTGACAGAAGCAGATAGAGAAAAACTTCAAAGTGAGTTACAGAATACAAGAATTTGAGGAAAATCATGTCTGGAAGATAAATTCCACTGTAATTTCCACTGCTTATTTGCAGCTTCTAGACCTGTTATAGTTACTTCCAGAATTAGTTCCAACAAAGAGAGAATTTTTCTACAGATCTGTAGGTTTTACTGAACAGTCTTATAGACAAAACAACGGTGATAACAAAGTGAAAAAGCTTTTGCATGGAAGAATAAATTCTCTTGCCTTGAGCAGAAAATGAAGATTCAATACCAATAAGAAAGAAAAGTTTTAATCCAGAAGGAATTACCTTGTTTCAAAGCTGTGATAGTAGGAGATTATACAAATTTTTTTCTCATAATATCCTATTCATTGCACAGTTCAAGTGGACATTGGCTATGTGTGAATCAAAATTGTGCAGTGGACAACAACATTACTAACATTTTCCCAGGGATTAATTTATTCTGTTCTAGTATTTCCTCCTCTTAAACATAATGGTATTACCTTCTAATAGTAGCGA